AGAACTTGTAGGCTGGACTTCCGCAAGAGTCGACGAGAGCTGAGCGATCAACAGTAAGCGACAATATGCCGAATTTAAAACAGAGAAATGAAATGCAGACTAGAAAAGAGGCCACAAATGGATTTCGGCTAATGACTAGAGACTTTTGAAGGCTAAAGTGGCCCAGTGTATTGACATGAATTATAATTTGTGTTCAGGGGTAACGTTCCTTGAAAAGGTGAGGCGTTAAGCGAATTACTGAGATTGTCCATCAGCTTCAGCTTGTCCTGTTGTTGCAGTGACTGATTCAATGATGACGGAAGAGCTTGAGTAGTGCTGAAAATTAAAAGATTCAAAAAAATACAGCAGATAAAAAATGAGGCTCAGAAAGGTTTGGGTGTAAGAATCAGGAGTAAGAGTAGTTAACTGTTCGTGTTGATCAAACGATTCGGTGTGCTTGGTTCCAACACCCGATTACCAACTGAATTCAATGTTTCCGTGCAGAAAGGTAGAATCGACAGCAACGAGCAAACTCGTATAAGTTTCGCCTCAAAGAGCAGTACATTGCAGCGTTGAGGCGCAATGTTGCTCGAGACTTTGCTGTCACCCTCCGTAAAACTGCCTAATCTGTCGTGTTGAAATGGGCGCAGTTCGGCGACGGGGGGGCATTTTGCACTTTTGCTACTTCCCATCGACGTGTCGACCCATCTAGACAGCCTCTTCTCGAGTTGACAGGTTTTACCATGGCTTGACGAGCTTGCTCCAGCTTCACAAGAGTTCACAGGTTTCACCAGAGTGAGACTTGTAAACCAGAACTAGTGAAGCAACGAAAGTGCAAAATGCCCCCCCTCGCCGAACTGCGCTTTGAAATTATCGCTCTAACATGCATCTTGCTAAAAGCCAATCCAAGTTAGTTGGCGTCATGCTATTATATGTGGGTTACTGACATTTGCTGGAGCAAATCGTACCATAGAAGCAGTTATGTAAGGCTGCAGTGAGCCATGCATGTGCATTGTCGAGATCAAACCGATGGTATTAGGCCGGGTCTTGGGCGATGCGGACCGACCAAATTCTGGCTGAGGTTCCGGATTTTTCATCCTCAATTTGTCTTCCAATTTTTTGAGCCACATAGACGAAATAGTAAAACCTCTAGCTGATTTCAGAGGTGGTGTCGCATCATACTCACACACCATGGATAAAGTCTATGAAATAATTCCTAAACTACCAACCAAACTTTCTATCCTTTCGAGGTCGTGTACGCGATACTGTCCCTCTCCGGGAGGAAAAACGCTGGTATGAGAGTCGTTATCCCTGCAAACGAGAAGGTGTGGGAATGCTGGAGTGCAGTGCAGCCACGGCGGTCTTCCCACCAGCGATCCCATCCTGTCCAAACGGGTGGAAGAGGCTACCCTGGCTGCACTCCTTGCACGTCTTCTTGTTTGCAGGGATAATGACTGTACATTGGCTCACTCCCGTAAGTTATTGTGATGGCCAACCACGTATCAATGCGCCACTGCGAATATTACGAAGACGTGCTATAAAAGGGATCCACTGTCCCCTAGAGCATCTTATCTTTACTAACGAAACACCAGAACTTCAGTTTTAGTGAGCAAAGTAGTAATCTTACCCTGGCATTGAATGCAAAGCAGACATTGGCGAAGAAAATCGGTTTGTCTGGGACATCACAGGCAACGTCGACGCAAACTGCAATGACATTTGTCAGTTCTGGGAAGCCAGAGATTGAAACTGGAGCTAGAGAAAGTTCAAAAATGGTTGTGATGTGGCCGCAGGCCAAAAAAAGCTAAATACAAAAGAATCTGATACGAAGTTCTACGTGCTTTCGTTGACAACAATGGAATGGACTTCGTATCAAAAAAGTACGGATTTAGTGATCGAAAGCTGCTCAGATGGACTTTCGTTAACTTTTGGGCCACAGGTAATTACGGCGAAATGAGGCTGACCTGATTTTTCATTGGCCAATTGAAGGCAGCCGTCTGCCCGCCTCTTGGTTGGTAGTTGGCTGTCTGCCAGCCGCCACCGTACCCATAGAATGAACTCGCATCATCTATCTGAATGTTGGTGATTTTAATAAGCAATGTCAGAAGTTATCTTTCAATCAGTGAATAGGCAAGCTAGTTTTGGAAAACTGGAGCACTCCAAAAGGCAGAAAAAACCCTGGTCCTTTATTCAGTGAGCATGAGCACAGAATGAATCGTGAGTAATTAAGAAGAGAATGAACAGATAGATGGATTCTGCTAGTTCTGTGATGATAAAGCGAGGTTCCAGTGGCTAATAGAAACGGTCTAATTCGAAGAGAAAGAGCTTCTGGTGTTGCTGGTGCGAGACACAGCATGTTCTGTTTATTGTCGTGTCAGGAGAAGAGGGGCTGCTGGTGGAAAGTAAACATTGAAGTGAGACGATTTCTGGAGAGATGCCTAGCCAGGCACCATTCGAGCGCCAGAAGCTCAATTTGGACTGAAGGTCAATGAGGTCCCCAACACTACGTTCAGCGCTGCATATAACTGTCTGGACACTGCATCAACTGCCCTTATTGGACCTGCATAGCATTCATCGGTTGGAAAAAAGGTCCTGGAGTCGGGCCAATAACTCTTCCAGCAAGGTTGTTCATCCATAGAATCCCGAAGTATGCAGTAGTAGCGCCGAAAATCAGAAAAACCGTTCTAGGCCTTCTCACAGAGCTCTTTAATGGGCATGATCAGTAGGCCTGGGCTCGGTTGATAAAAAGAAATCATCTCTTTGAACCGGTCAGAGAAGCTATCACAATGTTCGTTCTATAACAGCAAGGAAGCACTCATACGAAAAACTGTCCATACCTGTCCCGGAGCGTGTAGAAGCGATTGAGAGAAACTGTTTTGAAGGCTGCCAAGACCCAGCCCAGTTTGGAGTCCACCGATGGCACTCATTGATGAGCCAAGCGTGGTGCTGAGTCCTTTCGAATCCACATAGTTTCGCTCACGTTTACGCCATTTTGCTCGGCGATTCTTGAACCAAACCTGAAAGTGGGTGATTTCTACTCAGGGTGGTAAAAAAGGGCGAATTGCACACAGGGAGGTACCCACTGGGGGAAAAACTTCTACTACTTCCCTCGAAATCTTTTCCTCTGATGCGACTTCTGCGACCATCCGCCATCCCCCTACCATCTTCCTGAATTTTCTCAACTTCCCAGTTTACTTTCTTCAGCGATCAAATACTACCC